ACACACACATATGTTTTGTTGTAGGTACATATTCTCCCCCCTGCAATCAATAATTTACTATATTTGCATCACTGAGACTGTCCAGAAAATTGTACTGAGTAACACCATGTGTAAGTTTTCATTGTTGTGCTGGAAGCAGCATGGAGACATTGTCCTCCCTGTGGTTTATGTATTCACAAGTCAATCATGGAAGTCCCAAACTTTAATATCAGCTTGTTTTTGTGTGTGTGTGTGTGTGTGTGTGTGTGTTATTTGAAATAGACATTACAGCAGCAGAGTAACTTTGCACTAAGATGGATTTGCTTAGGTGAATGAGAATGTTAGTTTGTCCAGGAGGAAACAGTTACCTCCCTAATCCAGTCCTTCATTTCACCATCCCCCCTTTCACTGTAACATTTACTTCCAGGTTAAACATTTGAATCAGCACCCAGTAAGTTTTATAGCTACTTAGCTCAGAATGTGACAGAATGACCGCTACAATGTCTCCTCTATGGAGGAACAACACTGCCACCTGGTGGTCACATGATACGTCGCCTCTGTACGGGGATCCTGGAAGATATAAAAAATATATATATATATATATTTTTTTTTTCTGGTACTCTCCGCGTGCCAACGGTATTGGCGCATCACTAGTTTACATTAAAAAATATTTGACCCTACACTCCACTGTTGCCCTTTATGCTTTGGCAACATACCGTGTGTATTTGTGGGACCCATGTGTGGCAATTCAACATTTAGGGCTTGTTTACACCATGTCAGTTGAGCCGTGTTCTTCTGCACACCACCACATTTACAGAATATGCAAACATAACCCTAGCAAACTTAATATTGTAATCTCATATTCAATCCAGCTTGCTTAGGTTTTCTTTCATGGCCAAGGCATAGATCTTGCAGTTTTCGAATCTAGCTTTAAAGCATACTGCCATGTGATGGATAGTACGCAGCAGATAAATACTTGGCAAAAAGTTATGACATTTTTTTGTTTACATATTCTAATAAAAGTGACAACCTCTATAATGTCAGCAACATTGGGAAATGCCAGTGGTATGGCCACGGCTCTCATTGCTGCTCCATTTCCAAAGGAACCCTTCCCATTAAACTGCTCCTTGGCTGGAGTCAAGACATTGTTGTATTCTCCACTGCGAAGCTTCTCAAACACGTGAATGACCCCTGCACCATATCCACGGTCTGGATCATTGAAGTACTCCTTGGTAAACCTGTACATTAAAGAAAAAAAAAAGTGCGGTCAATCGTTATAAAACAGATGGTAGAAATCTTACGGACTTTCCAGCCACACTGTCATTTAATGTGTGTCTTAGTAGAGAGAAAAAACTCTATAAACATGTAGAAGGGGTGTCCAATTCCTTTTAAACTTCCCCTTAACATGATTGGATGCAAACAAATTGTTAAAGTGACATTAAACCCTCAGATTTTTTAACATAAACCAATACTGTAATGTGTGCATTACTGTAATCCATGGTTGTTTCCCTTCTCTTTGCTGCTCTTCCTTTTAAATCCTCATGTATTCTCATGCTGGGCAGAACTTCTGTTTTGCAGCAGACTGCCTTGTCTCTGAAATGGATACATGGTGTCTGTGTTCAGGTTCACAACCTGAGCCAGCACTACAGGAAGAGGCACTCAGCTGCAAAGGGAAGTTCCCTTTAAGCATGAGAAGACATGAGGATTTAAAAAGGAAGAGCAGCAAAGAGAAGGGAAACTACCATGGATTACAGTAAGGCGCACATTACAGTATTGGTTTATGTTAAAAAATCTGAGGGTTTAATGTCACTTTAAAGATTACAAATGGAATGGGTGGGTTTTTTTTATGCCAATATCAATTTAGAGCCAAGTGTTTAGGGCAACCTCACCATACTCTATGGAAATTGCAAGGCATATGTCCAGGCCCTTGGTATTCCCTGGTGCTCTCCCATCCACTTACTAAAACAGGCCCAACTCTACTTTGCTTCCAAGATGAAACGAGATGAGGCTTTCAGAGTAATGTGGCCTTGGCCAAAGCCTACAGCACCTGGTATTTTGCACAGATTACATACTAGTAAGGGATACACTGGGCATTGTGGAAGGTGCAGGGAGGAAGAGGACATCTGGTCATATTTTGCATAGTGACAGGTTCACTTTTATGAGTTACAACCAAATAAAATTGATTACTACATTTCTGTGGAACAAAGTAAGGTTCAATACCGCTCTATGATTTCTCATCTGTTCAGAACCTGA